CGTGCTGGACTTTACCGCCAACTGCCTCGCGGTCGCGGCCACGACCACCGAGACGTACGCGGACATTGGCCTGTACCTGCGCCTCGCGTCGACGGCCTGCCTCGGTCTGCAGCTTATCGACCTCGTGCTGCGCCTCTTTGGCCTCCAAGGCGCGCTGTGCAAGTCCTCGGCCAACATGGCCGACCTCGCCGTCTACCTCTGCCTCTGCGCGTGCCTAGTCGCGCGGTACCGGTTTGCGGACAACTTGGCGACGGCTAAGATCCTCAAGGACGGCTTCACCAACCATTGGAAAGTCAAGACCAAGTACAAGCTCGACCAGATCGAGAGCTACATCGCGGTGGGCTACTGCATGCTCGTGACGCTTCGCATTCTGCTCAAGCCGGCCGCCCGCACGTACTCCAAGACGCTGCATCGGTCGCCGAAACCGGACCGGATCCTCATCCAGTCGCTCCGCGCCTCGATTCGCCTCTTGCCGCAAATCACCGCCGTATGTTTGTTTTCCTCTCGAGTGCCTCTGACACGGGTCTAGGCGGCGGTCGAGAGCATGGAGATGGAGCTGCGCAAGGTCTGCGGTGCCGAAGACGGCTGGATGCTGCCCGAGGCCTTTATGATCTTTATCGAACGCGCGTACAAGCACCGTCCGTCACGCATGTCGACGACCGCGTTCCTCGAGCACTTTCAGCAAGTGCAGTTGGTCGATCACCAAACAACGACTTATGGCATGCGCCACGTCATGGCCTCGACGCTGCGCCACTGGTACACTTATTTTTACATATTTTTACTGGTTTCACTCCTTTTGACAACGTGTCTCATAAATCCGGTGGACTAGGGGCAATCAAAAGCTGTTTCTGGTCTGCACGCTCTTTGTTGTGGGCGTCGCTGCCTCGATTGTGCCCCTGCTCGCGTACCTCCTTCAGTACATTACGGACCGCGCGTTTCCCTCCTACGTCGTCAAGAGCATGACCCAGGACCTGATCGACTACGCGTACGAATCCGGGTTTCAGTCGCTCTTTATCAAGACGTACTCGAAAAACGTCACAGCCTTCGACAACGGCACGGAAACCGAGCTCGATTTTTACGACAAGGACGCGCTGGTCATGGGTATCCTTGGCCTCATGGCCATCTGCGTGCCCTTCATCGCCGCCGACTACGCCATGGGTATGCCTTTCTTTTTTAGATTTTATTGATTTTCTCGATTTGTTTCGCATTTTTCTTGATTTTATTCGCTTTCTACTAGGCTTTTTCCAGTCGAAACTCATTTCGCGCGCGACTAAGCACCTCCAGACGTCGCTGCTGCGTGTGATTTTGCAGCAGCCGTCGAGCTTCTTCCACGACCGGTCCGAAGGCGACCTCAACAACCTCTTCCAAGCCGACATTGCGCGCGTCAACGCCATGTGGCAAGCCGTGTTTTGGGTACTTGGATCTGGTGTGTTTGTATCAAGGTATCAATGGTGATGGGTAGAACTTTCTCAACCCTGTCGTGTCGATCTCGGTCGGGTTTGTCTACTTGATGACGCTCGAGCCGATCATTGGCAGCTTGGCGTTTGCATTTGCCATCATCATTGTGACATCCGGTCCGCAAGGCCGCGCCGGTGCGTGCTTTTTCTCTTCTTTTTTCCATCGGAATCTGAATCTGAAACTGAATGTAGGCAAACGATCGCAGTACTTTGGGTCGCAGAACGCCCACGTCGCGGCCGATGTCCAGAACGCGATCGCGTGCAACAAGGTATGGAGGTCATACGGAGTACCAGATGTCTGAGACTCCGAGACTAGGTGGTCCACGCGTACGAGATCCAGGCGCCGATTCTGGCCAAGTTTGGCGCCAGCTTTGGAACGCTCCGGAGTGCGCAATTCGCCAAAGACTTTTGGAGCGGCATCGTCCAGATCTACATTGAGTCGGCCATGTTTGTGTTTGTCATGGTCATGACCATCTGCCTCGGCATCAAGGTATCTATCTATTTTTATATTCTTGTGGATAGATTGTCTTATATGGATGGTAGACGTACCGCGGCGACATTACGTCGGGTGAGTTTTTCGCGTGCTTGACGCTGCTCAACCGCATCTCGACGCCCGTGACGGTCCTCGGCGGCTTTATGCGCGTGGCCATTGGCAACGCGTCGAGTCTCCAGCGCCTCGACGAGATCCTCGTCCAGGTAGTTTGATCCATCAATGTATCAACCCTACACCTAGATACTCACACGAAACAATTAGGCGGACAAGACGGCCAAGCAGCTCCAGCAGTCGGACATGACGCTGCCAGAGCTCCCCAAGATGCAGCACGCACTCACTGTGGACCATGTCTCGTTCAAGTACGACGCTGAGAGTCCGCACTGGATCCTCAAGGACGTGACCGCGCTTTTTAAAAAGGTGCAAAATTCTCCACAAATCTTCTTTCAACCAATTTATAACAAATCCATAGGGCGAGTACGCGTGCATTGTGGGTCCGAGTGGCTGCGGCAAGAGCACGCTCCTCGGCTGCCTCATGCAGTTTTACCCAATCTCGGCCGGCGCGCTCCGCCTCGACGCGTACGACACGCAACAATACTCGAAAGCGAGTCTGGCCGACCAGACCGCGGTCGTGTTCCAGGACGGCGGCGTTCTCAACGGCTCGATCCTCGACAATATTGCGTATGCTCGTTGTCTCGTGCGTGTTGATGGCTCATACAATGGATGTGGATAGGTATGGCCGGGACGGGGCGACCCGTGAAGCGTGCTTGGAAGCGGCCAAGCTGGCCGAGTGCCACATCTTTGTGGACGGTCTCAAGGACGGCTATGACACGATCATTGGTCAGCACGCAGTCGTCAACCTCAGTGGCGGCCAGATCCAGCGCATCTGCCTTGCGCGCGCATTGGTGCGTCAGCCGAGGTATTCTCGTCTTTTGAAAGTTGAAAGAATGATACAATGCTGGTAGCCTGCTCTTGCTGGACGAAGCCACGAGCGCGCTGGACCCCGAGACCGAAGCCAGCATTGTGCAGACGCTGGAGAAGCTTGTGCGCTCGTTGGACATGACGGTACTTTTTTTTCTGATTTTTTTCTGATTTTTGGATGATTTTTGGATGGTTTTTGGATGGTTTATGAATGCTCGACTAGATTATCTCGGTCACGCATCGCATTGCGACGACGCAGAACGCCGACGTCATCTTTGTCATGCAAGCCGGCGCGATTGTCGAGCGGGGCACGTACAACGAGGTCGCGTTGCGTGTTTCTAGTCGTCGTTTTTGCATGGATCGTAATGCTGGGATCGTGTGTAGCTGCTCTTCAAGCCCAAGTCGGTCTTTGCAGAGCTTGCCAACTCGCGGCAGTCGCCGACGAACCGGTCGATCCGGTTTGGCTCGCGTGCGACGAGTAGTAAGGACGACGTGTCGACGTCGGCCGCGCTCCTCCGCCTGACGCGCAACCTGGACAACCGCAGCGTACGTAGCTTCTCTCGCTTGGACGCGTCTGCAGTGGTGTATGTAGCAACTCGAAGAGCGGGCACGCTCGCGCTCCGCCGTGAGCCGCAATCGGTCGCAGAACGGCAGCACGCTTCGCAACACGAACCTCGAGACCACGGATCGGTTGAGTGAAAATAGCCGCGGGGGCTTTCTCATCTTGTAGAGAGAGTGCGGTCGACGTGCCGATAGACAATCCTGTGCAACATGATGTTTTTAGAGACGCCACGGTCTCGAGCTTATTCCTGCATGTTGGATTGGACGGGCTACAGTCACTTGTTTTCGAGTCCTTCAACGTAAGCGAGAGATCAACGACACCCACGCGTGGTGGCAGCCCCTCGAGAAGACGAGCTGTAGTCGGAAATGCATGCGCTGCACGAGCTGGAGCGGCTTGTACGGGCTCCACAAGGGTGGCGCGACGGACTTGTTGGTCATCTGGGTCGATCTGCGGCAGAGCTGCATGAGCCGGAAGTCGTCCGTGTTATGGCACGTAAAGCA